CCGGCTGAGCTGATCAAGCTTTTCCTGGACCGAGAACAAGGTCTAATTCGCGAATTCCACGCCATTGTCGTGGACGTGAGGCAGACTGGGGACGTAGCACAGCAGTGGAAGGATGCCACTATCAAAGTGCTTTTCAAGAAGGGGGACACGATGGAGTGCGGCAACTACCGGGGCATCTCTCTCGTCGCACACGCCGGCAAGGTGCTGCTTAAGGTCGTCGCTACACGACTGAGCCACTACTGCGAGCGAGAGGGCATCCTCCCGGAGGAGCAGAGCGGTTTCCGCCCACACCGGTCGACGCTCGACATGCTGTTCGCCATCCAGCGGCTCCATGAGCTCGCGAGCAAGAAGAGTACTGCGGTGTTCGCGTGCTTCGTCGACCTCACCAAGGCATACGATTCGGTAGACCGAGACCTATTGTGGGACGTGCTCCGACGCTTCGGCGTGCCCCCGAAGATGCTGGCGGTCATTCGCCACTTCCACGAGGGCATGAGGGCGCGCGTCCGAACGGACGACGGGCAGTACTCGGAATGGTTCGACGTGGGCCAAGGCCTCCGAAAGGGATGCAACCTGGCCCCGCTGCTGTTCAACTTGTTCTTTGCCGCGATGCTCATGGTCGCCGTGGCCGAGTTCGACAAGGACCCCAAGGTGACGGCGGACATGGTCAAGATCGGGACACAAGTGGAGTACACGGGCAAGAAGGGCAGGTCGGAAAGGAAGAAGACGACGGTGGTGACGGACGCGGAGGCCTTGTGGGCCATGCTCTACGCTGACGAAGCGGCCATCGTCTCGCGCTCGCCGGAGAGTCTCGAGAAGATGATGTCGGTCATCGTGCGCGCGGCCGGCCTGTTCGGAGTGATGGTATCGGAGCCGACGACGGAGATCATGTGTATGCTGCCGAAAGGGATCGAGGAACGCCCATTCACGGTCAGCGCCGCCGGCCAGACGTACAACCAGACAGATCGGTTTGTGTACCTCGGACGTACCATCTCCGCGGACGGGAAGGTCGACCGGGAGATCACGAGCCGCAGCTGCCGAGCGTGGAAGTGCTACCGCCGGAACAGTGCTTCGATGTACGACAGGCGACGGGCCGACCGCCAGCTCAAGATCCGGCTACTCCAGGCTGAAGTGGTGGAGACTCTCCTGTATGGGTGCGCCTCGTGGAGCCTAACAGCGGAGCACTACACGAAGCTCAATGGGACCCACCGCCAGTTCCTTACACGGTGCATCGGCTGGAGCAAGCGGAAACGCTCAGACCGCCCCCTGTCCTATGCCCAGGCCCTCATCCAGGCAGGCTGCGAGGAAACCATCGAGGCCACCGTGCGCAAACGGAGACTGTGTTTCGCGGGCTTTGTTATGCGCATGGGGGACAGCGGCCTCCCTAAGCGCATGCTGTTAGGAGCGATGGCGGAGGGCGTGGGATATCGGGGCGGGCAGGCGACTTGGTGTCTCGTCTAGGAGAGGATCTCGTGGCCTTCAACATGGGAGACGAAAAGGAGGGGGGTAAATGGAAAGAGAGCGCCAAGGACCCGGAGGTGTGGTACAACAAGGTCGAGGACGGGGCGGCATGGTTCATGAGGAAATGGCACAGGCAGGAGGCGGAAGCATCCGCGAAGCGCCAGCGCGCGAGGGAAGCAGAAGCAGAGAGTACGGCCTCAGGACCGAAGAGAAAGAGAGCCGGGGAAGCGGCGGTAAGGGGGAAGAAACGGCGACCGGGCACTGCTGTAGAAGCGACAAGGGCGGCCGAGGCAGCACTTGTGGCTATGTCCCCGGCTGATGCTGTTGCGCCCTGTTTCCCTCCCTGCTGTATGCTATACTCCTTTATG